GCGGGCTGATTCGGCGCTCTGTCTCTCTCGCACTCGCGGGGCGTGCCGGCGTGACGCGTGGGCTTGAGAGAGACAGAGCGGCAAAGCACTCGAAGCACTGCCCGGAATCAGGAAGGGGCGCCAAATAGATCAGAGGGCCCTCGTCGTCCGTCGGGGGGAAAGGGGGGGGGCAGACCGGAAGTAATGGGCAAACGATCAGCGGGCATCCGGGCGGTGCGCCACCGCGGCTTGATTTAAAACCCGCAACGAGTCGCTGCAGACTCCAGGCTGGAGTGTACAGTGGCGCTGCAGGCATTCCACGCTCGCTCCAGCCGCTCCAGCCGCGCACGCGTCATGAAGACGCTAGTACCCGGCACGTACCGCGTACGCCCAGCTGAGAGAGAGAGAGAGAGAGAGAGAGAGAGAGAGAGAGAGAGAGAGAGAGAGAGAGAGAGAGAGAGAGAGAGAGAGAGAGAGAGAGAGAGAGAGAGAGAGAGAGAGAGAGAGAGAGGCGGGCCGCCCCCGCGGCCGTCGCACATTCCAGTGGAAGGGGAATTCCCTCCGACGCGCCCTGCTTCTGTTGCCTCTGCGTCCCCGCCTCGTCTCCGCCGCTGCCGTCCGCGGCGTTTCGTTTTCTCAATGCCGTGTTTCGCTCCCTTGACGACGTCGCACACGTCGCTGCAGCGGCGGCGGGGTCGCGAAACTGCCTCACTGAGAAAACCTTACAAACCGTTTTGGGCCTTACAAAGAAAAGCAGTTTGTTATAACAAAGCATTTTGAGCATACATAAGCTAACAAAGAAAATACTTCGTAAGTTACGAACTATTTCTTAGTAAAACAAAGTAAATTAGTTTGTTTGTGTGAATGCTCAAAATACTTCGTAAGGTTTTAAGCGTGCTCACACTCATGCTCCGTGTGGGCGTCAACCGATTTAAAAATGCCCGAGAGGGCAACCACGTTCGATGTTTGGGGAAGATTTCTTAAGAGAAGAGATTAAGTCGGATTTCGCAAGATTTCATCCAATTTTACCGACGCGTTTTCAGGGAAAGATTTCGGATTTGCAAAGATGTGGAGCGTTCCGGGGGACACAAGATTTCTTGAGTGGTTGGCCCCCGGAAATGTCAGTCCCCGGCCCCCGGCTTGGCCTCGAGCGGTGTCGCCGCAAAAAGTTGACGCCGAATGTCGCAATGACTGGCGCCGCGGCAAAAGTGCGGTGATTCGATTCGCAAGGCGGCCCGGCCCTTTGGACAGACCACCTTATCGCATCTCGCGCGAAAGCAAACCGCTTTCACTCGCCGAGATTACACTTGGAAAAGGGGGAGGGGAGGGGGAGGGTTTGCAATAGGGCGGGAGGGGGGGGGGCGAGCCGAAAGCATGGCAAAACGGGGACGCCAAGATGTTTGACTTGGGCTTGCCACGGAGGCAAACCGGTAGATCAGCTTGGCGCGACGACGGCTTCGGGGGTGAGGGGGGGGGGCTGATTCCGCCGGGCGCCGCCCCTAATCCCGCCTGCATTTCCTGCAAATCCCGACCGCGGACGGAAACAAAGGCGCGCTTCGGCGTTTTGGCGGCAGCAGACAGATTCCGAGAGTCGTTTTCGTCGCTCTGTCTCTCTCGCACTCATGGGGTGTCCCGTTCAGGTGCGAGAGAGACAGCGTGACTCTCGCAGTCCGCCTGCAGGCCCGGCGGGCGCACTCAAGAGGCGCGCGTAGGTGGAGGCGCAGCCCTTCCTGGAGGTGGCCAAGCACTCCGCGTGATCGAACGATCGACCCATCGAACGCGGGCACGGTCGGGCTAGCCCGGCGCGGCATGGTAATGCGTGTCGCTGCGTGCGTCCGCTATGCAACATAAATAACTCCAGGTTCGCGATCCACGGAAGGAAGCCCTTTGGGGGGAGGGGGAGGGCCATTCGCAGATTGCTCGCGGGGGCCGCGCGCCAGCCCGCCGGGGTCCTTCTAGGACCTCTCGGGCCGAAACCCCTACCCTTCTCCAGGGGTTCTCCAGGGGTTCTCCAGGGGTTCTCCAGGGATTCTCCAGGGTTCTTCCTGGGGACTCCAGACCGCCCGTCCTCTCCTGGCGTCCTCTCCAGGCTGTCCCAGAACCAGGCCTTACACACTAAATGTTTTTGTACAAATGAGACATCACAGTTTTTTTGTAAACACAAACTTTTTGTACAAAAACAATTTTGTACAAAAAAGGTGAAAAACGTGTAGTTTTTTGTACAAAAATTGTACGAAAATTTGATGTGCTCAAAAAAATCTGATGTCTCGTACAAAATTGTTCATAACATTTAGTGTGTAGCGCGTCACCGCTCCGCCCACCGGAATGCGACTTATTTTGCCGCTGGTTGACGATTTTGTCGCCACCACTGCAAGTGTTCGCCAGTCGTCCCGCTGCTCCGGGTGAGGGGGTGGGTAGTGGGGGGAGGGGGCTGGTTTATCGCGAGCCTGCCTCTTCAGCAGACTGCTGTGCCGCTCGTCGGCGCGGATGCTTCGGAAAACGAGAATCGTTTTACGGTGACTGGCAAACAGAGCCGAGCCGAGCGAGCGAGCCGAGCCGAGCCGAGCCGAGCCGAGCCGGACGGGTCGCTTATTTACATACCGTGGGCGATTCAGCGCGGTATGAGAATTATGGCGATCGGAGCATTCCCGCTCCAGGGGACTTGGACACGGAAGGTAGGACAGGTGATAGCCACTTCTTCCGTGCAGTAGACACTAGCGTGTGTCAAGAATGCTGCTGAGTCCTCAAAACGCAAATGAAATACATTTCCAGAAATAACTTTTAAAGACTCTAAAATGATCTTGATCATACAAACACAATTTTCTGTTCAAATGATATTGCTGTGAAGATACTTGATGTAGCCATCAGTTTAGCATAATGTAGGATGCAATAATAAAAAACCTTTTTTAAAAAGAAAGATATTTTAGATCAATGAAAAATCAACACATCTTTACATGTTCATTTTAAGGGGTGTTAAGCCTGTTGGTGGTCAAAATATGACCTTTTATCCCTTTAATGGTCCGTTAACTATAAATAATTTGGATGTACTGCTCCAAAATTGCAGCTCCACTTTCTTGGAAGTGAGGATATCCTTTATGAGAGAGATCAAATGAAAGCGACAAGTTTCCGTAAACTGACTTGTCAAAAAATCTTGCGAGCCTCATTTTTAGAGTAACCATAAGGTGAACATAATTGAACATTGATTGAACATGATTGAACATAAAATGTTTTTGAACTTGTCTTTCGGAGAACTCCAAGTGTAAGCAGGACTATTTTGATATTGTTAATGGTCGTTGAGATCAAGAAAAATAAAAAGTTTTAACTTATAAAATTTTTAGGTGTTGATCACTTTCAGCAATATCAAAGTAGTGTGGTGTACACTTATCGTGCACCTACAAAGAAGTTGAAAAACATTTCTGCCAATTAAATATTATCATACATGGTTTTAAAAAAATTCGGAACTTTTTTGCAACCTTTACGACAAGTTAGTTAACGTAAACTTTTTGCTAACTTTTGAACAGTTAATTAACATTAACTTGTCGCTAACTTTTGAAAACTTTTTCTTAGGAAATCCGCAACTCCCTCTAAATCAGAGAAGATGAAACTCAAATTTTTATACAGAACCACTATATTCCTCGAAGTTTCTGATCTGTTAAGTTTAACGTAACAAATTTAGTCGTTTCTCTCATCACTCCTTCTAATACCAAAATTGAGTTTCCACCCTTCCTCCCCAAAAAAATTAGTCTAGAAGGACATACAAATTGGATTGCAGCTTGTTGCACTATCCCTTTTAGTCAGTTAATAAGAAAATTTTAATTATCTTGACATTTCAACAGAATTTTTTTTTCTAATCCTTACAATTTCAAGTCGTTTTGATACTTTTTTCGGAAATGACTTCAAATTGAAATTTGAGGACACATTGGGTGTGTGGTACATGGGAGTCCATTAGAATAGTGGCCAAATCACATGTCCCGTAAAGCGGGGAAGGACCTAAGGCCGGGGAGATCCGCCCAAAATTCAATACCGTCCCGATTTCGCCCACTATGAAAAGGAAGGGCTCTGCGGGAATTCCATCTAGACCGCAGGACGGTGCCCGTGGGCGGGGCCTGCCGAGCCCGCAGCCTTCAACAAGATTTCACAATTACATTTAGGAGAGAGTAGCTATCGGTCCGACGATTGGATGAAGACAAGCAGAGGCGGGGGTGGGGGTGGGTGGGAGGTGGTCGCGAAAGAAGGGAGAAACAAAGAGGCTGGAGAGCAAAGCGCGTAAAGTAGGAAGGAAATCGGTTCATGTGTTTTCCGTTGCCGCCGATGAAGCGAGACGTGAGCCCTGCGTAGGCCTCGAGCGAACCGCACGCTCCCGCAAGGCGATCTGCACACTGATTCCGAGAGTCGTTTTCGTCGCGCTGTCTCTTTCGCACCTGTACGGGACGCCCCACGAGTGCGAGAGAGACAGAGCGACGAAAACGACTCTCGGAATCAGTCTGCCGGCATTGTGCCTCGGCGAAGATGCTCGCGTCTGTTTGCGTATCTCCGACGACGCGGTCCTCAACATCTGCCTTCTTCTCCCCGTCCTCCCCCCCCCCCCCGCACTTCGGTCCGTAACATTTTGGGATTCCATATTCAATGAGGTTTGCGGATGAGGAGTCCTCCAGGGTGGTTTGGCTACGGCGAGGGGGCGGAGGCGGTTTGGGGGTTGCCTTAAGGTGTAGGCGGCGAGGGGGGGAGGGCGGCCAGCAGGCCAAGGAATGCCGAGGGGCCGAGAGGCCTCGGGGACCGTCCACAAAACGCAGTCACTATTCGCCGCGTGACCCCACAGTGGAGTGGCAAGCAAACTTACCAATGGATTGGATTTGCATACCCGTGCCCTTTTCTTGGCACGTGCTTTAGGAGCGGCCCCCGTAACAGGTGGCTGCAGGGCGGGACGGGCAGCACGGCGAACGCAGCGAGCGCAGCGAACGTAGCCATGGCGACCGATCGACCAAACAGGCGGCGACCGCGCCGGCGGGGTTCACGTCGCCTCGACGTCGCCGACGTGCACGGGGCGCCACATAACCTCCCCGAGCGCCGACCACGCCGACCCAGGGACGTCGTCGGGCACCTCGACGCAGAGTTCGCCACCGGCACACCCCGCGCCTCGAAGCCACTCGAAGCAAGGCCGGGCGATGCGGAGGGAGAAGAGGATTTCGGACTGAAGTGGCGTCCGAACAACAACAACACCCACGTCGCCCGTCGTCTGCTTGCCGTCTGCTTCGACAATGTTGACGATTGTCGCGGTTCTACTCACCTTCTCCGGCGGTGGGTACCCAGTCGTCGTCCTGCACTAGCGTGTCTCTCGCGGCCGCATCCTCACCGCGAAAACAATAACAAACACCTTCGAAAGGAAAACACAATCACTGACCCGACTTGAAACTGACAAAAAGCGATTAAGAGTGAAACGTTTGTCATTTGTCTTGCGTTGTGATTTGGTTATGAATGGAGTAATACGTAGGATGAAGAAAGAGGTCTGAATGGTGAGAGGGTGAGTTAGCAGTGTAGCAAAAGGCGCGCGCTGTGAGAAAAAAAGTACAGTTAAAGCACGGAACATGTCTGGTCAATAATTTGCCTGGACCGTCCGTGTCCGTACTTGCCAACTACGTAACTTCCCTACTTTTTCTCCGTACCCGTTTACATGGGTGCATAAGGAGCAAGTATGGACGTTCCGTACTTTTCTCCCTACCTCCGCACTACATTTTTCTGTACCATTTCCTTACAAAAGGACGGAAATTTTTTACAGTGCGGCCGCGTGGCCCGGAAGACGACCTGCGGCGGAGCGCAGGTACATTCCGGCGCATCCCGAAGCCCGCCGCGAACAACAAGAGGCCGACCCGCCAGGAAGGCCGTCTCTGAACCGCGCTGCGTCGCTCTGTCTCTCTCGCACCCTTACGGGGCGCCCCACGAGTGCGAGAGAGACGGAGCGATGGCGGAACTTTTCGGAATCAGACCACTGGAAGCCAGAACGGCCATTCGGCGCCATGCATCCCCAGAAAACGTTCTCGGGCGTCCAGGAGAGCAGCGTGAGACTGTGGGACAATACTGTCGAAACTAAAGATGGCATGCCATGCTTTCCCTCGGACTTCAAAATGAGTGTAACGTACATTCCAGATCTTGCACCCGGGGAGTGGCCCACTGTAAAATGTTGTGTACAATGATTGTGTGAATGTGCGAAAATCACTCGGAAAATCACCTCCGGATTCTCGTCCGGATTACATAAAAATTTTCCCATATTACCCTGGATTAACTCAAAATTTCTGGTCATCTGGATGACGGGTTACAAATTTGCTGTCAGCCGGATCGGATGACCGAAGTCGTTACCCCCTCGGAAAAGTCACACTGCTGGAAAGCCAGTGTTGGCAGCACACTGTAGCGCATTGTGTTTGTTGCAGGCGAGGCGGTGCGCGTGCTCGGCGCTGGGGCGGCGGGGGCCTCGGGGGCCTCGGGGGCCTCCGGGGCGGCGCCCTACGTCACGGCGGGCCAGGCGGCCGTCCTGGAGTGCCGCTTCGTCCTGGAGACCCGCGAGGTCCTGCAGGGCGTCACCTGGACCAAGGACTCGCACCTCGTGTACCGGTGGCTTCCGAGCGGCAGGACACTGGGTGAGTCTGAGTGTCTAAGGCGCGCCCATGGCCGCCCATGGCGCTGCCCGGAGCGCCCACCGAGTCGCGCATAGGCAACACGCTCACCCGGAGAGGCCGGTTGGGTTGCCTACCGCCACGGCGCGCTGCCGACTTGACTTTAGGGGCTGGACCACAAATGATCGCTTGCTATTTCGGCCAAGGAGTAACAACTCCACAAATTTTGTACACCGAAGTTCATGGACAATTTTGAACTGCAGTCGAATGTTTTCAAAATTCGTGGCATTTAGTCAAAGAATTTCTTCAAAAAAAACAGAGAAGCTTACTTACACTGAAATTCAGGGAAATTTGGCTTTCATTCGTTAAAACTTGTCCAAAATTCATGTGGGATTCGAAAATTTGTTCACTGAAATTCAGAGTTAAGTCCCCTCGATTTCGGTCCTGGCACACTGCCACATCGGGTTTGTTGTACTTGCGGTGCCGTAGAGACGATAAGCTGACGCATCAACATTGTCCTAGCGTTCGGTCCCCTGGAGGGCCTGACCGAGGTCTCGGAGCCGGGCTGGAACGTGCGCCTGTCCCGCGCCACGACGGCCATGGCGGGCAACTACTCTTGCAGCGTCCACACGGACCGCGGCAGCGCGGCGTCGCGGCGCTTCCGCTTCAACGTGCTGCGTGAGTAGAGCACCCGAGGGGTGACCCACTGGAAAATTTTGTGCACAATGATTGTGTGAATTTGCAAGATTTCTGGCGTTTTCGCCACACATGTTGCCTACTTACAGGCGTTTTAGCCACCTGAATGAGGAATGTAGTCAAATTTTGTACAACGAATGCTCTGCAAACTCTAGTGTGTACCAGGCATGCACTTCCTGGTGCATGCCTGCAGGCACACACTTCCTGGTGCATGCCTCAGGCACACACTTGCCGTCGCCTATGCATGCATACAAGCAAGTGTGTGCCTGAGGCATGCACCAGGAAGAGTGTGCCTGCAGGCATGCACCAGGAAGTGTGCCTGCAGGCATGCACCAAGAAGTGCATGCCTGGCATACACTTGAGTTTGCAGAGTGTGGGAAGCTGTTCCCGTTCGAGTGCACCCGTCTCTCTCGCACCCGTGTGCTACGCCCCAAGAGTGCGAGAGAGACAGAGTGACGCCTGCTCCGCAGTGGTGTGCAAGGCCAGGATCGAGACCGAGGACTCGACGGCCGTCAACTGCACGGTGGGCTGGCGGGTGAGCTGCGCCAGGGTGTTCCCGGACCTCAACCTGACCGCCGGCGTCTTCGACCCGACCGAGAACAAGTTCATCGACCGCGTCACGGAGTGGACCAAGGTGGTGTACTCCGACAACACGTTCGGCTTCCACGCCTTCAAGAGCTACCACGTGAGTGCATGGGCTTCAGGCTTCACTTCAACACGCACTGTAAAAAATTCCGTAATTTGTATGGAAACGGTACAGAAAAATAAAGTACGGAGACACGGAGAAAAGTACAGATCGTTCCGTACTTGCTCCATATGAACCCATGTAAATGGGTACGGAAAAAAGGTACGGAACGTTCCGTAGTTGGCAAGTACGGACGGTCCAGGCAAATTATTGACCAGACATGTTCCGTTTCTCACAGTGCGAGCAGACTGATTCCGAGAGTCGTTTTCGTCTGTCTCTCGCACCTATTAGTGCGAGAGAGACAGAGCGACGAAAACGACTCTCGGAATCAGTCTACCCTATACAGACCGGTCTCCGCAGCCTCTGCTCCGTGACACTCGGTGACACTCCGTGTGCTTCCAGGTCGCCGAAATCCCCAAGTCCTCCGTCTTCCTCTGGAGCCTGAGCTACCAGGACCAAACCCCGCTCGTGACAGGGAACGTCTCGTCCGGAGCAGGTTCGTCAATTCGCTAATCTTAGAAAGGGGATGAATGAAAATAGCTGACTTCTATACCACTTTGTACCAAAGCATTCAAGGTGCTGTCAGACTCAGGAAGGGGCGATCCCCCCCACTTGGTCCCATGAACGATCTTTTCATTTGGCAGTGCACCGCGCGTGGTCTGGCTGCAGCGAGCCCCCTGCCCTCCCCGCCCCGCGCGACGCCAGCTTGCAGCTACAGCTCCTGTACGACGGCGTGGGGGTCGCGGGGGCGGGGGACGGCGGCGCGCAGACGGACTGCAGGGGGCGGCCGCGGGGCGCGACCCGGGCCGTGTACTCCTGCGCCAACGAGATCCCCGACGGGGACGCCGGCGGCGCGGCCAGCAGCCAGGCAGGCGGCCAGGCAGGCGGCAGCACCAAGGAGCTAGTGTGTGCCAATGGCGAGTGGGTGGAGGAAGACCCCTCCGCGCCCTGGCCAGTCTGCTAACCCACCGCAAACCCAAACCCGCCAGTCCGCCACCGCGCAGGCGAGTCGGCGTCGGCACCACACTCTGTAGGACTAATAAACCTACGCACAAAAGTTCTGTATGCAGCATTTTATTGAAAACACCAACATCGTTTCAAAGTACGTCAGTAGACTAGATATGCATATACAAACATATAAAAGAAAATTCATTTCCTTGCAATATGGAGTACAGCACTTAATTAATTTCAAAAACCTAAATTTTGGGTTGATAAGACATTGGTCAATATGAATTGTAAAAAAAAAATGCCTTTCACGACAGGAAAAGGCACAGACTGGTTACAAAACAAACTACTAATGCTGAAACACATACTTGCTGACATCAATTGTTACAAATTCAATTAAATACCAGTTCATATATACACGGTACTTACAGTCAGTTGTACAATATAAAATCTCATAGGACAGTCATCCAGGACTTCATCTTGTTTACTTATGCTTCTCAGTTCAATATATTATTATTATTATTAAGATAAAAATTTAAATAGCATCTCTTGTGCAGTAGAAATGTAGTTTTTGATCTACACTTAGTGTTAAGACTTATCGCTTACAACATTAAGCCAAACAGAACATTCATTTAATAGTGATAAAACAAAAAACAAAACAAACTGTAGCGGCTGACAGGAAAGGCCAAAAGCAACACAAAACGCTCACTAATTTGAAATCTTTGAGTTACCGTAACAAAGTGGCTAACTCAACAACAGCTACTGTCTGAAATCCATAAAGTACAATGCTACATTTTTCTTATTGCATCCAACTGTATTATAGCAGTTGCATAGTCAATGTTGCCAAGTATGCAACAAACATCACTGGAATGATGGTAACTTTGGAAATAGCATTCAAATTTTGAGTATTGCACTTACAGAAAACTAGAGTGTCAAACAAAAATGTCCTGCATTTTAAATATTTGAATAAAGAAAGAAGGAAAAAAAAAGACTGAAAGAAAATAATAACAAGGAAATACATACAATAATGCCTCCTAATTATTAAATTACGGAATGACAGCAGAGACTGCCTTGATGTTTTAACAAAACAACACAGTTGAATGAATGATAAATGAGTAGCTGATAACATAAAAAAGGCCAATAACAACAATAACAACAACAAAACCAACACAGTAATAAATACAATGTGATGTGAAGACATGCACATACATTCTGGAGAAGCAATTTCACATTCCAGCAATTCCTTAGGGAAGCACTCAGTACCTATTGCACATTCAATTCCATATTTGTAAAAGAAAAAAAAAGTTTCAGAAAATTCAGTGATCAAATCAAAACAATGAATTTTTATGATGTGGTGTTTATTCTGCCGGTTAAGTCACTGCAGCAAATGCTTGCAATCATATCATGGCAAAGAGGAAATTGAGGAGGAACATTCTTATAGATGGCTTTACCATGGAGACTTACTCTCCATGACTCTACTGCATCTCATTCATTATCATTTTGTAAATAGAACAGAAAAGATACATATATAAACCACACATTTGAGTCCAGTTCCTGAAAATTCTGCAGTGTAATTACATAATTTAGCTTATAATTTTATAAAAACTGGCCCCACATAAGATCAACTTGAATGGTAGGTACAATTTAATAACAGCAGTAAGCAAGTGACAAATACATTTGTTTTTGTAGAGTCGGAGCCAAAATTATGAAGACAAACACTAATGCAGCAATGTCGAAATGGAAGACACCACTTGAACACTTAGTGCTCTTGCTACCACCTACTCCTTGCAAAGGTATCGAAAACATACAATGACATACAATTATGGTAAACCTGGCAGTTGTACATATAATTTTCACATAAGGCACAAGGGCTCACTAGTAATATGACAATCCCACACCAGTGAAGAACTGTCATATACCTGGACACCATATTAAGGATCACAGACTACGCTTCATTTTTTTTGTGCAAATGCAATTAATGTACATTAAATGTAATCTGCGATGCAAGATAAATGTATAAAACAGATGAAAAAGCTACTCATGAGATTACCACAAACATTTAACTGATGATACACAGAAGGATTCTTAAAAGGTTCACATTTAAAACACACAATAAAATGTATGCATTGGGCAGATGTAGCAGACATCAAATAAACCATATAATAATAAAAGCCTTCCATAGTATACATCAGTTACACTTACAATGAAAATACAGACCATTACAACATCTTTATTTTGAATAATGATGAGTTACACTAAGGTTCAAAATAACCTGTGCAAGCCAAACACAGAATTTGTTGGATGCACGATTTGAGCAAATCCTTAGTCTTAGAAACAATGACAAAATACAACACAACACAGCCATCCAACATACAACCAGCTGTTCCAATATTTTGTAGTGCAAGCTGTGAATAATTAAGATAAAATTTTATCAGACAGTTACTTGATATTGATATTCCTATTTTAGGCACAAAGCAGGAACATGTGGTGGAATTCAGGCTTTAGTCTTGACCCATCAAATGGACCAAAAAAGAGGTAAAAAAAGGGGGGTTCCGAGTATGTAGTTTAACTACTTGACTGATGCTGAACTTTACCTCTTTAAAAGGTATAGGAGGCTTGAGGGGAATGTTTGACGTCACCAAGGTGTCATGCATATCAGACTTAAAAATATTCATTTTGTCAAATATTTACAATAACTCTCATATTATCCTTTTTTTATGAATGACATTCTAAATATTGCCTTCACAAGAAATATTGTTCTAATTATAACATCACAAAGCTTTTGCCACAAGAAAGAAATATAATGGTGACCTGAACAATGAGTGCTTGGGAACTGCGACAGTCAATTGCTAAAGGCACTCATGATTTGGCCACACCAGACACTGTCACCCTGCCTTTTAGGCCACTCTGGTACAAACCCCAGTCCCAAGTGGTCTGGCCAGCAAACCACAAATGCTATTTGCTCACATGATGTCTTATGCCACCACGCGAAACGGCAGCTTCGTCAGCGCAATGGACCACCTGAAAAGGAAAACAAAAGAATTGTCGTAGAGTAGAGACATGGAACAGTTTTCCTTCAAAATAACAGGACGTTCATGGCAAAACGCGAAGCCAAGGGCAAGTGCAGGAGCTAGTTCTTTACGGAAATATTTTAGACACGATAGAACACAACATCTACCAATCCTGTAGCCACACTTTGATTTCATAAAACAACCCAGGAAATCTTGTGTTAGATGATGCATTTTTGAACTAGCTGAAAGGACTCTTTTAATTGGCCAAGCAGAAATACAGTGAACCCCACTAATGACGAAACTGCCCAGCTTTAACAGATACATGAATTGAAGTTGTTTCTTGCATAATTCAGATTTGCCAACATGTTTCCATCTTTCAAAAATTTCCTAGACCTAACAATTTTTCCTCAACTTCATAATGAGTTCATTACATGGGTTTCACTGTATGATCCACAGTTAAATACTTCCATCAAGTGTCAATCATATCAAGCGTGAGACATGCAGTGAGAAATTCGCAGCACATTTACAGGAGACCTACATCTGAATAAACGCAGATTGAATTCATCTAGCCAAAACTCAAAAACTAAAACTTGCATCAGAATTGCATGGAAAAACATGAAGTCTATGCCAATTTTAAATCACCAACCTGACCCAAATAAATAAGATTCATCATAGCCCCAATCAGATATAATAAATTTAGGGGGTATCTGAAAAAGAGATACAATGAAGGATATGCAGTGCCTAAACGTTGTCATCAACACTCATATTGTGTTTCTGACATTTAGTTGGTATATGTACACACCTCTATACAGTTTTGATATATGTTTTTCCCTTCTCGTATTGTCTTGATATGTGCTTCGCAAATTCTAGGCTCCAGGCCGAGAGATGGTAAGAATGTGTTCTGCAGGTGGCAAAGGAACTCATCACCCTGAAATTTCATAGAATGAAAAAAAAATAGAATTACTTAAAATATGTTTACCATTTGCATTCTTCATTGCTAAAAGACTAAAAACTTACCCGCTTCTTAAAGATAGATGCTATTAATTGAGAACATTCTTTGCCAACAGCCCGAGAGTCAGGGGATGTATCATCAAGAGACTTCAGTGGCAAGTAGCATGCTGGGACAACTCTTTCATACAAAAACTCGGTGAAACCATCTGGCTTTTCACCGACTCCTCCCCACTGGTCAACCATTTTTCTTAATATAGTGTAGCAGCTTTTTTGAGCCTGAAATGAAGATATACATTCACTACAGTACTCTGACAATTTAGCTTTCCTAGACGTTCCTAGACGACCAACTTACAGTGGGATCAGGATCATGATAAGTTCCCTGAATGACCCAATCAAGAGCTTGCTGTAGGGTATGAGGCTCTTGAGCAAGCAGTACTTCGAGAATATTGTTGGTCACTATTGCACTGATCAAACCTAGGAAACTTCTGAATAGATAGTGGTTTTCCTCTTGAGCATAAGGATTGTCCTTATCTGTATCAGCTGCCCAGGCTGCTGTAAATATAGCCAAGGTAGGTGCCAGTAATTGTTGAACAAGAGATGCAGCATCTTTCTGCAAATAATACAGAACAGATTAGCCACAATTTGCCTTTGGGTGTAAGTCAATTGATTGATGTTAGACATCAACAAACCTTAAACTTCATTATAACTTGTAGAACCAATGGCATAAATTCAGAAAGTAGAAAGGCATCATTGTCACGGAGAATTGCTTGTAAAACAAATGGAATCACAGGTAGTACCTCTCCCTCAAGGCACACTACCATTCGATGCAAGAACTGCCTTAAGCCACTTTGAAGAAGCTCCTTTTGATTTGGACTCTGAGAGGACAAAACACTCACAATCAGAACACAATACATCTGACACTAATATGATGAACTAATATAAACTACAATAAAAATTATTATTATAATGATAAAAAATTAGAAAAAAAATTCAACATGCCTGCAAACAAGTAAGGAAGACCTGAAGAACTTCATAATAGAGCTGGAAACATCCCAGCATACGGGTGTCTTTTAGATTGTTGAAAGCTTTGCTCACACCTGTCACAACTGCCATGGCATGACACATGCTGTGAGCTAGAACCGCTCGCTGCTCATCATTTTGTTCAGTCATTAATTGGGCAGATAGCTCCTGGTATCTAGCAACAACAGGCACCAGGAGATTCCTAATTGTTTCCCCCTTTTCCTAAAGAGAAATAACAAGCTTATTTAGTTTGGTAAACTGGAAATAATGGAACAGGGTCAAGATAAAACACTTGATTATACCTCAGGAGAGTTGGTGCCAGAGACTATCAACAGTCCTACAGCTCCATACAAATGCAGCTGATCTTCATGGCATAGCCAGGTGCCGTTACTCTGGGCAGAGCTCAATTCCAAGAAATCCTTCAAACTTGCTATGACTTGGTATGAAAAGGTTGCTAGGGTAGACCTAGGAAAGCAAGTCCAAAGTGAATGAGGTGCTGGTTGGGTAGATAGTAAAATGCAATGCAAGAACTAACACATACCGCAGACTTTTAACAAACAGTTGGAAGAGGAATGCAGAACGTGCTCTCAACTTTTTGTCTGAGCTTCGGAGGCCGCGATGATCCAAAAATGCTTCCAAAACCGGAGGAATAAGCTCAGTCTCCTTTAAGAACAGTTTATCACGACGTGACACAGTCTCCAGAAATTGCAATTTTACAGATGAATCAGGATAATTGCTGACTCCAGAAGATAAGAGCTCCAACAACATGAGCCGAATTAGATTATTTGCGGACTGTAATAAATAACAGAAATTTATTGTAAAAACAAAAATAAATTGCAAGAAAGGAAAATGAAACTTGTGAATAAATAAATAGTTGTACCTGTGTTTCTTGGTTGTTTTGGGGTGGAGAGGATCCAGCTGATGGCAAGGCTTCACCAAGGACATACAGAATGTAAATGACACATTCCACTTCACTTGTTGAATAAGCTTGCAGATCCTTCAAAACACCTGTCACAACTTGATAAACGCATTGACAGACTAGATCTTTGTCAATTGCCAACAGATTCACAAATAAAATTTTAAATTCATTCCTGAAATAAATTTAAAACATTTTAAGGTTCTGAATGTCACAGAAGAGTGGTTCATTAAACAAAATGAACAAACCTGAAATCCAGCAGAGATTGTTGTCGGTCTTCATTAGATGTACTAAAATAATCTGAATGTAATTTCAATTTGTCTACAACAGTTTTTAGCAGTTTTTGTACTATTTGGATTTGCTTTTCAGCCAGAGCTTTGCCCTTAAGTTTCTGGAAGAAAAATAATAATACATAAATCAACAGTAGATACTTTATCAATGTTAAATAGATCTCACAGCACCAAAGCTCACCCTTATGTACTCCTTGGCATATCTTGTAACCTTTAAACAGACATTTTCCTCGTTGTGTTGCAAATATCCATCCATGTACAAAATATTCTCTTCTGCAGCATTGAATGCTACTTCAGCTGCCTCTACAGCACCTTTTTCTTTAAGCCTGAAATAAATGTGATGGACAATAGATTTAATAATAAAAAAAAGTTTGATTAGACAAAAAATTATTTTGGAGTGAAAAAAAATAACCAACCTATCTGAAGCCTCAAGAAGATTAAGACCAATGCTGTTTACCAGATTTGCCATATTAGCTGTATATGCTACACTATCAACCTAAGAAAAAACATTTGAGTACTGTTATTAACTTGTGCATCATAAATTTTAGATATGACACAACTAATATTTAAAAACACAAGCTTACCTGCGATGGAAGCAGGGGAACCTGAAAGTTTCTTAGAAGAACTAACATTCTTGTAATGAGTTGGAGCTTATCTAAGTTGTCCATGCCTTTGTCCACCACTTGACACAAAAGGTCCGCTGCAGCTGCACGAGCATACTCATTCCGCATCAATTGCAAGACAACTGGCAGGAACTTGTCATTTGCGACTGTGGTGACATCAATCCAGGGTACATACACACTAGTTACTTCAAGGCAGGCAGTAACAATATCCGGTTCACTATGCCATGTAGTCTAAGAGGGAAAAAATTGACCAACATGAGCAAACAAAGACAAAGGTAACCGAAAAGAGGTTTAGGTCTCAGGGAGTAATGCAGATTATGATTTATTACTTTGACCAGGTACATACACCAATTTGAATAAAATGTGACTACTCACAAGAATTTGAAACCAAGAATCAACTAGAACTTGAACGCTTGCTTCTCTCATTGTGTCTTTTAATTGAGTACTGCGCCGGATCAAGTCGTCACTCCTATTGTACTTGGGACTAAAGACCTGTTGTGTAAAAAAAATTGGCTTAGTCTTGGTCTTGAGAAAAATACTTGATTTTGGCAGCAGACAACATGTTACTTACCTCTGTATCCATGGCTGATAAAACCACTAGGAAAAATTCTACAGCTACACGGCCAAAAGAAAGTGTGCCGACAAGATCACCAAAAAATGATGGCCAGCGATGAGGAAAATCTTTTACAAATACCAAAGAGAAAATTTGACCCATTTTGTTCCGAATAAACTTTTGTTCTGAAATTTGTTGAGAGCACTGAAACAAAGAGGATCAGAAAATAAGTTGAAGCTAAGTAGAAAATGATTCTGGTGTTTAATGAGACATACAAAGTAATGATTTTACTAACCTGCAAGACTATCCACCGCAGCAAATACTGACGTAGCTCAATTTGTTCCTCACTTGGAGCATTTCCATATTGTGTTTGAATGTAAACTTCCAAAACTTTGAGGTAAAGAAATTTTGTTTGGGCATCAAGAAGGGAAGCTCTTTCACCAACAAGCTCATTGAGACACATCCGCCAGTTGGCTCCGTTCATGTTCACTCCAAGGCCGCCGTCACCCACACCAGGCCCCAGAGACCCGATGCTGCCCATTGGTAACGACATGGTCACCCCTAAAATCTGTAAATCACAAAAATAACAGTGTTGCTAGAAACTTGTCAGCATGTGGCAGTCCAGGACCAGAGGACACAGTTGAGGGCACAAAGATAAGGGAACGCAAACACAAATACTTTATCAAAACAATAACATTTCAAGGGCAAAAAATACAAGAAGCCCTTCAAAGTTTTGAGAGCAATCCAAAAGATTTTATTGGAAGATGCTGAGAAGTGAAATGGGAAAAACAAGAGTACAAAAACATACAAATACTTTCATGGTAGAAAGATTGCACAAAACAACTGTGATGTTACATACTGTCAAAATACAATAGATCGCATTGACTGATAAAATACGTGTGCATTTTTGTTAGCAATAAGTGCATTGGTAATACAAAAAATAAATAAAAACATCAAAAAATGTCATTGATACTATGAACATCATGAGGCAGACTCACATGTGAACCTTGAAAACAATGACTTTCAACTCCACTTACTTGTTGATCCATGTGCCAAGAACAACTGCTAGGTCACGAACTGATAGTTGGAGCTCATAGCGACCAAACTGTCAAAGGATCATCCCGACATTGCGGAAAAACTATGAATTGCACGCCACCAGGCCACGTTAGAAGAGCAACATAACCTCCCGCGGGACCACCGCCCGACGGCTGCCTGCTTGTCAATTTGAGCCACACTATCTCTCCGTGCGATTTCCAAACGACTCGAATGGAAAGGAACAAGGTCCAGCACCTCCTCAGCCCCACACGGAACACAAATCACACTTGAGCTGATGAAATTCGACGTTTCCCGTGTGCTTGATCACGTCCGTATGCATACAAATATTGAAGTTCATGGCCTACTTGGAACTACAAGCATCGAAAAGGTGACGCAACGCTTTAATGCACCCATATGACGCCCCTGTCAAGGGTCAGCAACTATGGAATTCCAAATCGAACGGTCGACTTGATAAGCCGCCGAAAAGAAACAGCGAGGGTTCACGTGTGTTTGTGAGACGGCCAATATGGCTCCGTTTATATCAAAACCGAACCCAAGTCGGCCGACGACCGTGGCCGGTTCGTACCACGCGCTTCCGCTGGCGAAAGAATGTCCGCTCAGCAGAAATGCGCCCGGATGTTTCTTGAAGTCAAAAGTTGACAAGATTACGCGTTGATTTGGGCAGGGTCACAAGTGTTGCCTAGCAGCGGCCAACTGTGCGCGATTTGGTCAAAAATAACAACCGTTGGGTGTTTTGCGCGCCTTTTAACCAACGAGAAAAGACGCTGTTTGAATGAAGCAGTCGTTCCCGCGCAAGATTTAGTTCAAAGTTCCGCCGGTAGGAGCAGCAGCGTCGACATGAAAAATCTCTTGGGCTGTGAGCGGGCCGAGTTGAATCCCATTTTCCATATGTGTTTAGTACAGTCTGAGGCCTAAGTGAGTGCACGTACGTCGACCGTTGCCGTTTGTTTTCAAACGGAAAAACCTCACCCGAAAGTGATTTAAAGTGAAACCATATTTGTGTGCAGTGTTCACCAGTAAAATCTGTTTTGAATCTGTGCTTTGGTGTGATTGTGCTTCGAATATTTACGAAAATATAAGTTTCTTCACTTGTGGTCCACATCTCTGAAGAGCTAGCGAAGAAACGAAGAACGTCCGAAAGAAAGTTGTTGATCAAGAGCCGTGAAGTGTTGTGTTTTTATTTTTGGTGCTTCAAAAAAGAAAAGTATTATTTGAAATAGTGCGCTACCGTCAACGAACGATGGGATTTGAAGGATTACCTACAGGTTAAGGTAAGCAACAAAAAGTAGGCTGAGTCTTTCATATCCTTCCTGTATTGATAATTGCATGCTTCAAATTCTGACATTATATGTAACAACTATTTTGACGACCTGCTCCGACAAGGGTGGAACTTGTCAGGTTCTTCATTACGCCTCACGCGTATGAAGCAACAGGTAGATGTTTTCCCCCAAAGAGGTTTTTACGTCTTCGTCTAATCAATTTACTTTTGAGAACGTTTCCTTGGTAGTTAACTGCGTTTATTTAAGTAGACTTACTTTTTCCAAATTTTGTGCTGTGCCTTTTCAGTTATATTCTTATCAAATAGTTGACTCTCTTGGATTCATTTGCAATTTATGCAGGATGAAGGGCCAGGAGTAAGTACCTCCTGGATAATCAAGCTTCCTGCTAAATTGTTTTGCTCCTTAATTCACAGCTGTGCCGAAACTACCCTATTCCATACTCCATTCTATCTCTTAGAATTCACTCCTCCTTCACGAATAAAACCCGATACAGGCCCACGCCAGGCCGGGGTGAGGGTGTGAGGTGGTGCCGTGGTCACCTTCGTGGCTGTAGGGGTGGAGGGTGGACTGTATCTCCCTTTCTCTGTTCTGGGCTCGGCCTCGCCTGGGAGAGCGACAGAGACGGGTAGAAGCGGAGGGAAGTGGGAGCGAGCCCGCCTCGTTTGGGTTGGGCCGTTGTCCGTTGGGCCGTACTGGTCGAGTTGGGGGATCAAGCGGCTCCCCGAGCCGAGCCGAGCGGGCCGCTGGAAGTGGGAAAAACCGGTCCAGTGTTGTCGGCTGCTTGCCTGCTTGCCGCTGCTTGCTGGTGCGCGCGCGGCCCAAGCTTTGCCAGGCCTTGTCCCTCCGTGGCCGCGAACCCGCGATGCCTGCCTCTCTGGGCGCTGTGTGGCCGGTACACTGCCAAAAGAACTGTGATTTGCCGTAAAGTCGGCGAGAGAGGGCGCTGCACTGGGGAAGTCCCAGGGACCGTCCCGCCCGCAAAAAAAAAAATTGCGGAAACGGCCCCTCCCTTTCTTTTTTCGCGTGTGATTTTCGTGTCACCTCGCGGGGCCTGTGGCGCGCTCGGCGCGCTGTGGCGTGGCGGCGCGAGGTGATAAGCGGAGCCGAGTGGTCGCGTCTGGATGGTCCGGAGTGTCTGGACCATGGTCTGGACCCCCCGCCATCATCAGGCCGGCTCGGGGGCCTTCGGGGCACAGTGGGCCAGAAGACCGGTGGGTGGCCAAAATTCTCGACGCGTATTGAGCTCCAGAGTCGCTATATGGGTCTGGAACCGAACGTGTGACGGATTGCTCTCCGAACGAGGAATCCATTGGTGGGGTCACACGCTCGGTTCGAGTCCCGTTTAGCGACTCTGGAGCTCAATACGCGTCGAGAATTTTGGCCGCCTGCACCGGTTGCTGGCCCACTGTGCGGGGGCCTTCGGGGGCCTCGCCGGGACGACGACGACGACACTGGCGTTTCCGGAGTCGGCCGAGTCCGAGCCGAGTCGCCCCGGGAAGCGATAACTCCTCCACTCCGAAATGAGTGGCGGATCATTTGTCGCCTACACCGCGAAGATTGAGCACGCGTCGAGGCACGCGCACGCCACTGTCACGGTGCCCCTGTCGACGACGGCGGGCACGGCCAGCAGACTGATTCCGGGAGTCGTTTTCGTCGCTCTGTCTCTCTCGCACTCATGGGGTGTCCCTTACTGGTGCGAGAGAGACAGAGCAACGGAAACGACTCTCAGTCTGCTGGCCGCGACGAGGGCACGCTCTGGGCACGCCCGCCGCCACGCGTGCTTCCAGGCACGTCTGTCTCTCTCGCACCCCTGCGGAACGCCCCAGGGCGACGGCGCGACGCCGTCGACGTGGAGGTGTCACGGCAGGGACACTGCAGGGACTCGGCCGCCCCCGCCCCGCCCTTCGGAGAAGTGCAGCGTTAGGCGCCTGCTTAGCCTGCTTCTCGGAATGCGTGGCGCGGCGTAGCGGGCAGGGAGTGTCGTTGACTCCGTTTACAGTGCTCCGTCCTGCAGAGTTTCGACACTCTGTCTCTCTCGCACCCGTACGCGACGCACAGTGGGCCAGAAACCGGCGGAGGCGGCCAAAATTCTACACCCATTTTGAGCTCCGGAGTCGCTAAACAGGACTCGAACCGAACGTGTGACCCCACCAATGGATTCCTCGTCCGGAGAGCAATCCGTTGGTGGGGTCACACACGTTCGGTTCGAGTCCCATTTAGCTACTCTGGAGCTCAAAACGCGTCTAGAATTTTGGCCGCCTCCGCCGGTTTCTGGCCCACTGTGCGACGCCGCGCGAGTGCGGGGGAGACGGCGATAAAGGCGCGCGGCGCCGCATCCCCGTCGTCAAATATTTGCTGATCGGGCAAGGGGCGCATCGCTATACCAGGAATGGCAGATTGACGAAATTCCAATCCCATGGCGGCCGAGAAGGAAGGGATCTCTGTGGCGAGGAGGAGGGTAGGGGGAGGGGGCATAAATCGGAATGTGCAAATGTGCGTCGACTGGCACAGGACAGAGTTGCGACATGTGGCATGCGAATTGCACCCGCACATCCTTCGTCCTCGACTATCCCCTCCGTGCACCGGCACTGATAACACGCTGACCTCACCGCCACAGAGCCTCACCTCTGGCTGCTCCGGTTACGCGGCCTGGGAAGGTGCGGCCACTGCCTGAAAGTTTCCTTTCAGTGTGCCAGCCACAGGGGAAAATCACCCACCTGGGACCGCACGGTGCTGTGTGTGTGTGTGTGTGAGTGAGTGTGTCCGCGTGGCGACGGGCGCGGTTTTCCCCTCCGCTGGACAAACCACCCCCTAAAATGAGTGCTGTCCATTCGCGGTGCGGCGACCCCGTCGCCAGCCCCGCCAGCCCCTCACAGTGTGCGCGCGCAATGGCACCGCCTGCAGTGCCTGCACCGTGCACCACGCTGCACTCCGAGTCGAACCTTGGCGTCGGCGCTCCGAGGGGCACAGCGGTGGCAGTATAGCAGTGGCATGGCAGTGGCATAGCCAGGCGCGGCATGGCGGCCACGGGGCAGTCACAAGTATAGCTCGGATCTGGGGCGTCCAAGGCGCATGGCGCCCCCCCCCCACTTCTGTCTCTTTCTTTCTCACCCAGAACAACCCGCTGTCGCCGCCGCGTGTCCCTCTCGCGCGACCGGGACGACGGACTAGACGAGATCCGGCAGAGGGGAGGTGGGGGGGCTGCAGACGACGCGCCGCCGCCGCCCCCGCCTCCCGCGTCGCGATATGCGTCCGATTGCACCCCCCCCCCCCCCGCGGCTGCTAAAATCGTCACGGGCCGCCGTCGAGGCCTGCAGTCCCTTGCAGTGGCGTGGTGGCGTCTCTGTTCCCCGCGTTGCAGCCCCGACTCGGAGCGACGAGCGCGGACCGACTTCGGCCCCACCCGGGAGCGGGGAGGGGGGGGAGGGGGAGGGAATTCATCTGGCCGGCGCTGACAGCAGTGGCGCCAGGGTCCCCGCCGCTGCCCCTGCAGGCTGATTCCGAGAGTCGTTTTCGTCGCTCTGTCTCTCTCGCACCTATAAGGAACGCCCCAGGGGTGCGGAGAGACAGAGCGACGAAAACGACTCTCGGAATCAGTCTGCTGCTTGGCCGCGGGGGAAGGGGGAGGCAGAGCAACACGCCCCGCATCTGCAGGCCCTGCAGGAGGGAGACCTGGTCTCGATTCCCCCGTCGGGGTTTTGTTTAGGGAAAACCGGCGGGGCGAGGCGGCAGGCGGGCCGAGGGGAGGACGCCGTCAAGGACTTGGCCGCGCCACTGCGCCGCCGCGCCGCCGCGGGGTCCAGGGCCGCGCGTGGCGTCGCGACGCGGTCCTTGGCGGGGGGGCTTCACCCGGCCGCGGCCGCACCCCCCCCCCCCTCCCTTCTGGGGTCGAGGCGCGGCGCGCACCTGTGAGGCTCAAGGGCCGCGATGCGGAGCGTTGCTCGCACCGCGCTGCCTGCCCGCGGATTTATCTGTCTCTCTCGCACTCACGAGGCGTCCCGTACGGGTGCGAGAGAGACAGAGTGACGAAGGTAGTCCTCGGAATCAGTCTGCAGCATGGCCTGCCTGCCTGCATGGCCTGCATGGCCTGCCGGGCTGCATGGCTGGATGGCCGTTCCAATTGAGGCCAAAGCCGTTTGCCCACGCGCGGCACGGCACGGCGCGGCACGGCACGGCGTGGCGCGGCGTGGCGCGCCCAGCGCGACTCCGGCCGGACGTGGGCTCTCGATCAAGATGGTCGTAGGTCATGGTGCAAGGGACTGCTCTGTAAGGGACTCGCCGACTCGCCGGGACGAGCCCTACGTTCGCCGTCGTCG